GTTACAGTTACTGATCCCAACTGATCAATAGATAGCTGTTGTCATATTACTGGTTTCAAGGACTTATCTTGTGTTTGACCACCCAATGCCGGTTTGCATTTCTCTGTATAACTCTAGTATTGTACAGATGCCTATATATACCGATGTAACATAGGTGGTTTTCCAAAATTTTGCCATCAGTGGGTTTTGAACTCCCAACCTACCACTTGGGAGATTGACAACTTATTTACTTCACTAAGTCGCCACATCCTAATTAAGTATCTTAAAAATGCCAAAGGGTAATTTTAATAAATGAAAAGCAAAAATTATGCAAAAACAACATTAATAGTAAATTGCTTACAAAAAGTTAATAGTTGTGCTTTATCAAGAAAATAAGTATAGTATTTGAGCAATAGCAAATAAATTTGAAATCAAACCAAAACAAGTTCATGACTAGAAAAACAAAAAAAGTAACTTAATGCATATAGCACTATATATTCAAAGACTTAATACTGGTATATGACCTAAGTATCTGCAGCATGAGAATGAACTTTTAGGATAGTTTTATAAGTTGTAAAGTTAACTAAAGACAGTAACTAGATTTATAATTAGAGTAAAAGCTCACAATTTAGCTAACAAACAAGAATATTATATTTTATATTCTGATATTCATAAATGTTAATTTTCTTATAAATGGATAAATAGTTTTATGTTATGCTATTTTTTAGTAAACTACTAACATACTACAGTTATACAATGATTGTCTGAAGAATATATTAAAGAACAACATAGTTTTTTATCATTTATTCTTTATCAGCAATTTGAACATAATTATTCTTTAAACTTAATAAAAAATATAGATAAAACCCCTATTGTATTTAATATACTAAACCAAACAACAGTTGAGAAACCTGAAAAAAAAAACTATTTTAATTCTTACAACAGACTATAAATGTACCTGTTTTACAATAACTCTAGCCTGTTTTGCAGATAGTACTAAACTTCTGCTATTTATTATTTTTAATTTAGTTAATATACTCTGAGAAGGTTTTCTGATAGTATATATGTCTATGTGAATTCAAGTAGTTGGATGAACAAAACAGAAATGATCTAGTGGATGGGGAATGTATGACATTAACAAGTTAATTTGGGCTCAATTCCATGTTTGCTTCTTGTTCTTAATGCATTTGCTGAACATAAAACAGATCTTGTAAAGTGTCACATTTGTAAGTGAAATACAGATATTGCTATAATTCTGAATGGACTAACCTTATGCTTGCAATCATTAGATGTATCTTTAAACAAACTATTTAAGGCAAAAGTTAGTATTGAATTTATCTCAAAATCTTAATAAACAAAATTTTGACAAAATTTTTGACAAATTTGGCCAAATTTGTCAATATTTTGCCTATTAAGATTTTGAGATAGAGCTATTAGTATTTTAATTTTAGTGTAAAAAAATTCTTAATTTTTTTATAAATAAATTTGTCATACTTATAATTAATGAATAAGTAAAGCTATAAAGAAATATATATCATTAGGCAAAATTAAATATACATTTTACTCTTTAGTAACAACTTGGATCAAAAAAGCTTGGAATAATATTGACTCTGCAATAATTCAATAATTTTTTAAGTGCTGTAGTATTTCTATAGAGGTAAATGGTTCTGAAAATGATTTAATTTTTAATTTTAAGAAAGCATTAGATAAAAAAAGAGAAATTGGTGTTGAAGAAGATAAAAGTCATAATAATGTAGATAATAAAAATGATCAAAATAATGAAAATGATCAAAATAATAAAAGTGATTAAAATAATGAAAGCAATCAAGATAATAAAAGTGATCAAGATAACAAAAATGGTCAAAAATATGAATTTTGTGAATATTATAAAAACAAGAAGAGAATTTATGTCAATATTTAGGATTAGTTAATTAGAATATTGTTTAGAGTAGACAATTCTTAAAATTTTAGAAAGCTATTGTAAATGATCTACTTAATTCTGGTTTATCTATTTTTTTTTAATATAAAATTTTAATAATGATCTTTATATATTGAAAAAGTAATATAATATATGCTTATAGCATTTTTTTACATTCAAACATTATTGGCTAATCTTACTCAAACAGCATATAGTAAATAATTTACTATATAACCAAAACTTTATCTTAATTTTATAACTTATCTGTTATAGCTTATATTAAGTTATCACTATCTTATTAAAAATTATTTATTTCTTTTTCTCTTCAAAAAAATTTTTAGAATTTATTTTGCTTTTTATAATGCTACATCTATCAAGTTTTTAAATTATCTGTTGTAAATTCTACAATCAATAAAATAGCATTTTTGTAAAGATTATTATAGTTAGTTATAATTAATAAACTTTTTAAAAATCAGTTTTATAAAAGAAATAATACAGTGAACAATTCATCTTTTGGCATGTCAAGCATATTAAAATATTTAGATCATTTATCATTTAGTGAAGGAAAATCAACAATGTTTGAAAAATTAACTACCAACAAGAACTTTTTTAAAAGACTTATTATTTATAAATATATAGCCATATAAGGCATTACAATCATCAGATGCTAGTTTAAAATTTAATTTAGTTTTAAAATTAATTTAAATTTAAGTTTATTATAAACAGCATATTGGTGTATTAACTTTGAAAAAATTGGATATTAAGTATAATATAAATATTATAAATATAACTTATTATCAATCACTATTTGGTCTAAAGCAAAAGATCATAGATAAGTATTGGTAATTAAAATATAGAAATTAAAATATAAAATTATTAGTAATTAAAATATAAACTATAAAGATAATTTAATTAATTAATTATTAGAATTAATGCTTAAGATTGTTGTTAAGAAATACTAGTAGTTAGGAAACTTATTAGCAAAAAAATCCTATTCAAGAAACTATAGTGTAATAACTATAAGTAAAATAGCATTATATAATAAATATTAATATTTTTATAAAGTATAATTTAAATTTGATTATAAATTAGTTAAGCAATTGATTTAAATTAGCTAATCAGACAAATATTTTATAAATTGTTTGTCTATTTGTAGCATTAAATAAGAAAGTTATATATTATACTTTCTTTTTAAGATAGATAGTATCTGGATATTAATCAGTTCTCTTAGTGTTTAAAATTGAAAAGTATCTGAGGTATTACTTACAATCAGATTGCTATATATAATGAATAATATCCAGATCCTAATCATAAAGAATATTATTTTTGAGAGATACTATAAGCAATAGCCTATGGTAATTTTTTTTAAAAAAATTAAAAATTTAAAAGTTTTTATATATTTCTAAATTAACTAATTACAATTAAGTATTTTTTTTTTTTGAATTTCCACTGCCTGGTTGCTAGTAGGCTGCAGTTGGCAGCTATTTTATTAGTTTAAATTTTTAAGTTCACAGGACCTTCTATCAGAACCCCATCTACATTTTACATTTTTATTTATATACATTTTTACAGTACTATCTATATACTAATTTTGTGTTTCTATTATCTTGGAATTTCACCAGAACTATTCCTAATTGGAAATTCCTTTGTTCTATTATTATCCTCAGCTTCTTAATCATCACAGCCTTCTTATGTCAGATCCATTGCTATTTAAGGATCTGGGTACTAAAAATCTTCCTATTTTCATAGTGCATCATCTGCTATGGTTAATCAACAATCGTAGTCCTAACTCAGTTTTTCATCCCCCCATTGAACTTGAACTGGCAACCTTGCGATTGGTAACCTGTGAGTGTAACCACTTCACTATTAGCTTGCAGGTCTCAATTAAGTATTTTTTGTATTATTATATAAGTATTTTTATGTAATATTAATGTATAAATTTACAAAATTTTAATTATAATTATTATATAAAAAAAGTTATAAAAAAAAAATCTTTTAAATTAGTTTATTATATAAAAAAATAATAATTTTATATAATAAAATTAATAATACTTATATATAAAAAAGTTAATAATTATATTAAACCCTTCTTGATGATCACTGGTACCAAATTTTACACCAATAAAAATAGAAAACTTATTGGAGAAAGTAGAAAAGGCTACTATATAAATAACAGTTTTTATAAAGATCAAAGTGGTTCTTCTACACTGGACTTCTTTATATATTTAGTAAGCAAACTAAAAGCATGCATATACAAGATAATTGGCAAGAGGTGCCCTTGTATAACAAATTTTAGTAGAAGTCTTAGCTTCTGTTAATGAAGTTAAAATAGTAGGCCTTATAGGA